TTCTCCTCCTCTTCTACTTCCTCTTCCTCCTCCTCTTCTTCCCCTTCTTCTTTCTCTTCCTCCTATTATACTGCTACTACTGCTTATTATTATTATTATTACTATTATTATTATTATTATTAGCTACTGGGAAGACCAGCTTCTATTTTACAGCAGTGAGTTCCTCTCGATTATTTCCACGTTGCCCATCAAAATTTTATTTTATTTTTTTTGGCAGGGGGGTGTCTCCATCTGTCCGTCATTTTTCCCATCGGAGTCCCCCAAAAAAACCCCCACACACCATCATTTCCACTTCGTTTTATGAACAAAGGGTTGTGTGAATGGGCTTGTCTCTTTCCGCTTGTGGGTCATCCGTGACTCTGAACGTTTTAAAAATCTCATTTTGTGGTCCGCTCTGTGTTGTTGTTTTTTCAGGGTGGGCTTGGTGGGAAGAGGGGGGGGGGCTGGAAAGGGTTGTGAAGCTGCTTCTCACCGCCTTTCTCTTCTCCCCCCCCCGTCCCCCCCCCCCAATTCCCCCCCCCCCTGCCCAGGAGGGCTGGCTTGGGGACGGGAATCACCTTAAAAGGTGTGGTGCACCCAAGTTTGGAGTCCAGCAGTGAGCAGGTAAGCCTGGCTTCGGGCGTCTTTTTTTACGCTTTGGAACAGATTAACCGAGTTGGAAGGGACCCTTGTAGGTCATCTAGTCCTACCCCACTCACCCTGCCCGAGCAGCCATTTCTGACGAGTCTGAAAGGGGCCAAGATCGGAGACCTCCGCCCTAGAGTGGAGAGATTGCAGAGGGAGGGATGACAAGAGAGGAAGCGGGCAGAGGGTTGAGGGGGGGGGGGTCTGCATTCTCCTCCCCCCTTTCACTTTTTGGATGTGTGTCCCCCCCCCCCCCCCCGTTTTGTCTCCTTTCTGCAGGCCGTTGGAGCCATCGATCTCTTCGCGGGCGTGATAGAGAATCAACTACTTAAACATGGAAAGAAAGTGGTTGGTGAGTGTTTTGGGGGGCGCTCAGGCGGGTGGATTACTTATGGGGGGGGCGCTGGAAGGACAAACCCCTGCTTGCCCCCCCCCCTAATACAGGTAGTCCTCGAGCGAACGGCCAACAATCCCCCTGCTGAGTGAAACGTTTGCTAAAGTCCAAGGAGGGTTTGCCTCATTTTACGACCTTTCCTCGCCACGCCGTGATTAAGTGAATCGTGGCAGGGGTTCAGTCCTATAACGTGGTTGTTGAAAGGGAATAAGCCGCGGTTCGTCAGCGAGTCGGCCGGTCATTAAGTGAAACCGGCTCCCCCCCCACACACACACCTTTGGCTTTGCAAGGCCGAACGGTCATAAACACGAGGTCAGCTGCCGAGCGTCTGGATTTGGGTCGCGTGGCTCCAGGGGGGGAAATCCTGCAATGGTCGTAAGTGTGAAACACGGTCCTAAGTTGCCGTTTTTCAGAGCCGTTAAAATTGGAACGGTCACTAAATGGTGCAGCTCGAGGACTGAGGCCGAAAGGGAGCCGGGGTTTGTGAAGAATTTGCACCGTTGCTTTTGTGCGGTGTTGTGTTATCTTGGCGAAAGGATTCTAGGAGACCACAGTTAGAAGTTGCCTTAGAAGCCCGGAGCGGGGAGGGGACCCTCGACTTACGACCATTCGCTTAGTGACGGTTCAAAGTGAGTACAGCACCAGAAACAAGTCATTTTGGACCAGTCCTCGCAGTTACAACGGTCACAGGGTCGTGGGCTCAAAATTCAATCGCTCAGCAGCTGTCTCGTGTTTATGACGGCTACAGTGTCCTGGGAGCCCAGCCGGTTTCCAAAAAGTCAAAGGAGGCAGCAGGATTCGGTTTAACGCCCACTTAACGACCGCTTAGCAATTCGCTAAGCAACCGCAGCGCTCGGCTTCGCAGCTGTGACCTGGGGAAAAGAAAGGTTAAAAATACATTATTAAAAGGTTAATAATAATATAATATGCTATAATTGATTGAGTAAGAAAATGAATATAAGTTAAATAAAGATGAAATATATTTTTGAAAGACAATAACTATAATGTTAACAATAATGCAACAATTGATAAATGTGAAATAAAATATTGATTAGGATGGTTATAAATATAAACAAGTAAGAAATGTATGATTGCGAGCACAAGAGATATGCACCCAACCGACACACCAACAGTGTGGTTTTATTTGTTTGTCTTTGTTTTTGTTATAACATTAAAAAAAACTTTTCAAAAATAAATAAATAAAGAGATAAATAAATTGAGGGCGGCCTGGACGGAGCCCGCGCCTCTCTGCCGTTCGCGAGATTTCAACTGACTCCCCTTTTACTCTCTTGTATTTTCCCTTTCTCTCCAAACTTTCAGAAGAGCAGTTTATGCTGAAACAGATTGCGGATAGCGCCATTGATATCTACGCCATGGTGGTCGTTCTTTCCAGGTGAGGCCCCCCCCCCCAGAACCCCCCCTCTCCCCAAGATCCCCTGACTGGCCAAATGTCCTTTTGTATTTGCTGGCAAGGAACAGCCAACCCTCCAGAACGGTGGTGGCTAACCTTTCGGGGCTCCTGTGCCGAAAATTTGCGTGCGCGTTCGCTAGCGTGCCAGTACCCAGAAGGCTATGTGCGCGCATGCAAGCACACGCCCTCCCCCCCC